AAGGTGCAAGGGAACGAGAATTACTTTTATTGAAAAGTAATGCAGTAAATTTAGCCAACTTGCAACCACTACAATTTGAACTATTATGACACTCTGAACTATCCAAACTACCAGTAGAAGTTAGAAATTTTAAATAAGAATGAGAAACATGACCTAAACGAGAATGCCATAAATAAAAATTAGGCGATTTGGGACTCAATAGAAAAGAAGATAAATCAACAGTAGATGCAACAACTTCAGGGAAATGAAGTTCGTCCAATACATATAGGTCTCCATTTCTATGGCCTGTCCCAATCAGCTTCTTGGACCGTGAATTCTGCATAACACAACCAGTAAAAAAAAAATGAATTAAGAATCCCAAATTAAACAACTGACTAACAGATATTAAATTTAAAGTAAGTTGAGGAATATAATAGATATCAGGAAGTGTAAGCTGGGAAGACACGATAGTTCCAACACCAGCCAAATACATTTGGGTGTCATTGGCTGCAAGAACAGATATAGAGAGAGGGGAAACAATAAAAACAAATAAGGAAGAATTACTAGTCATATGATGGGTGGCTCCTGAGTCAAAGACCCAAGCAGTTTGAGAGATACCTGAAGGTTCTGTAGTAAATGAACCTGTGGAAGAAGAAATTGATAGGGCATTTGGTTGATGAAGGGAAAGAAGCTTCTGCAACTGATCAGCTATCATAGTCATGTTAGGAGTTGATGGGAGTGTCTCATTCATTGGTAGAGCAGCTGCGGCTGTATGATGATATTTGGGCCTAAATGGCTGCTGCAAAGCCCCGTTGGCATTCTTGTTTACTAATTTAGGACATTAAGCCTTCCAGTAACCCTTCTCACAACAAAAACTACACTCATCTGAAGCAGCTCGACCCCGATATTTAGTTTGTGAATGAGGAGTCCTTCTGGGTGGTATAGCCAGTACCGTCTGATTAGGTAATGGAAGAAGACCCTTTCCAGAAAGAATCTTAAGACAAACTTCTTCATGCAGAAGCTTATTCAATACTGCATCGACTGTGGAAAGTGGGAGACGATGGAAAATAGAACCATGNGAAGTGTAAGCTGGGAAGACACGATAGTTCCAACACCAGCCAAATACATTTGGGTGTCATTGGCTGCAAGAACAGATATAGAGAGAGGGGAAACAATAAAAACAAATAAGGAAGAATTACTAGTCATATGATGGGTGGCTCCTGAGTCAAAGACCCAAGCAGTTTGAGAGATACCTGAAGGTTCTGTAGTAAATGAACCTGTGGAAGAAGAAATTGATAGGGCATTTGGTTGATGAAGGGAAAGAAGCTTCTGCAACTGATCAGCTATCATAGTCATGTTAGGAGTTGATGGGAGTGTCTCATTCATTGGTAGAGCAGCTGCGGCTGTATGATGATATTTGGGCCTAAATGGCTGCTGCAAAGCCCCGTTGGCATTCTTGTTTACTAATTTAGGACATTAAGCCTTCCAGTAACCCTTCTCACAACAAAAACTACACTCATCTGAAGCAGCTCGACCCTGATATTTAGTTTGTGAATGAGGAGTCCTTCTGGGTGGTATAGCTAGTACCGTCTGATTAGGCAATGGAAGAAGACCCTTTCCAGAAAGAATCTTAAGACAAACTTCTTCATGCAAAAGCTTATTCAATACTGCATCGACTGTGGAAAGTGGGAGACGATGGAAAATAGAACCACGAAAGCCCTCAAAGTCATCTCTAAGGGCCATCAAAAATTGTACCAACTGCTGCTCCTTCCTAAAAGTATGATATACCATATGAGTACTCAATTCAGCTGGCTCAACAAGTGCTAATTGATTCCAAAATCCAGTCATAATCGAGTAGAACTCTCGTATGGTCTTATCACCCTGACGCGCAACTCGAATTTTATGCTCAAGCTGATATCTTTTTGCAAAATTAGACTGAACAAACAATGTTGCTAAATAATTCCAAATTTATTTGGCTGTGTTAAACTTAGCCAAATGCACACCAATGGTCTGATCAACTGAGTTATTAATTCAAGTGAAAATTTTAGCATTGTTGACTTCTCATGTATTCTTTAATTCAGCATTTTTCTCTGCCTTCGAATCTGTTGGAGCTTGCAAAACATCATTAACATAACTCCACATCTCTTTCCCCAACAGAAAATTCTTCATAATATAAGACCAATATACATAATTTTTACCATTTAATCTGACACTAATAACTTGAAGAGAATCAGAATGTCCACTTGCCATAATGTTAATAAGAGGTCTCAGCAAAATAATACCCAAAATAAAGCAGAAAACAACAATAAATCCAGCAACAGAAATCAAGCNGCATCATTAACATAACTCCACATCTCTTTCCCCAACAGAAAATTCTTCATAATATAAGACCAATATGCATAATTTTTACCATTTAATCTGACACTAATAACTTGAAGAGAATCAGAATGTCCACTTGCCATAATGTTAATAAGAGGTCTCAGCAAAATAATACCCAAAATAAAGCAGAAAACAACAATAAATCCAGCAACAGAAATCAAGCAACCCAGCAACACCGAATAACAATCCAACCTAGTAACACCCAACAACACTGAATAGCAATGCAACCCAGCAACACTAGCCGATCACAAGAAACCAAAATCCACAAGAACCAGAAACAAGAACCGATGTACAGTAGAAGCAAGAAACATCTAGCAAACCACAAGAAATCCACATAACAGAAATCCAACAAAAAAACAGGCAAAGAGAGGCAGTCGGTGCACTGTGAAGACAAGAAACCAGACCATAAGACTTACTAGATGAACTCGAAACAAGAAAGGGAGCACACCAATGAGAAGCCTATGAAGAATCGATCAAGATGGCGGTATTCACAGTCGGAGACTGATGACGTCATCGCCAGCGATGATGACATCAGTGTTGTTTGTCGTTAGGTTTCACAAAGTCTTCACGTCGTCGGGTTCATGTTGTCTTCACGTCGTTGAGTTCATCAGGTCTTCTCTTCTTCTAGACTTTAATCATGAATTTGAGTTAAGGGATTAATGCTCTGATACCATGTTGATGTTTATCAATGAAAGAGGAAAAATATATTGATTAAGTCTAAACCAGATCTGTATTACAAACGAATTTATACTAGGTCAAAACATAGTAATATAAATGACTAATCTACCTTTAATGCTAATATACTAGATTACTCTAACAATGTGGATATATTGCTTTTGTGTTTGGGTGTGTCCAAGTAGCAAGGCTCATTTGAACATTATGTATCAGGATCAGAGGATGCAGCTAAAATGTCACAATGGCAATGCTTTGCATATTTACAATGTATTCTACAAAACGTTTGACTGAATTAGTTGTAACTCTTATATGGGAACAACATTGTTTGGGAAGTGTTTGATAGCAGGTGTGGGGCACCTTGCTACCATATATACATCTTTGTGGTATTTTATTTGACATGGCTAAAACCTTACCCCTGTTAAAATTTCTTATTATTTTCTCTCTTTTTTTTTTTTTGAGGGGGGGGGGATGGGTTGTGGAAAGGTTGCAAATCACACTAAATTGAACCACCAAAATATGGATAGACATCCCGAACAAGTATACTATCATATGACATTCTAGAATATGTGAATTTATTTTGAATCTTGGTTAGTTGATATTCAATATAATGCGACCTACAAGTGTGTATGCAAGTAAGCTAAATAATAGGTACTTGCCATCAATTAACATCATCACCATCATGTCGAACATTCTCCGTTCCCATGCTCCATTCTTCTTTCTCTGTCCTCCGTTCTCCACTGTCCACTTTCACACCATCCTCCTCATAATCATTATCATCACCCCAATTTTCCTTCCCTCATCAGAAAGATATCATATTCAGTAGTTGGGGGAAATTTGCAAATGTAGACAAAGGACTTGCTTTTAGATGTCAGTTTTCTTCTATGTCGCATATCCATGAAGATTGTCAAGGCTTGAATCATTTCTCTTGTTTCCAAGAAAAGAAACTGAGACAAACAAACGGAATGCATGTTTTTACATAGGTCTAACATGATTTCACCTAAACTTACAAGAAGTGTACATGCTTAAGGTATCTCACATTGCAAATCCACATTAAATAAAGTGAAACCTTAAAAAAATTTGAGAAAATTTACCTCATGTTAGTTGAAGGGACCCAAATATATGCTCGAAAATATATGATGCTCTCTGAACTGGAAACCTAAATAAAAGAGGTAAGTTGTCATCAATGATGTCGTAGGACTTTGGGATACACTTCCCAGGTATAGGGAAAAAACATAAAAGTAAATGGAAATTTTGGTTTTCCATTTGTGGTTGGTGAGGAGGCCTGCACAAAAGGATCATCCAAGGTCCATATGTTCGATCCAGCTGATTTGTCTGACAATAGAGGGCCTACCCAATCAGTTGTTTGCAATGCTGGACCACACTGGCCAATCCGTTAGTCTGTGGACCAGGTGTTCCCCTATATGAGAAAAATGATGCAGTATTTTGGGATAGGGGCATATGCCTTGATCCTAAATCATGGAGCACTTGTGAAGCACGAATACAACAGCCAGTGCACACAATCTTCGAATTTCCTTGATCAATTCTGAATTTGTGGTTATTTCTCTGGTATGTTGTGAGCATGCTTTTTTCTATCCACCAGAAATGCCATGTACACTTTTCAAATGATACCCCTGGGCTTTTCACTTCAATTTGCTCCTGTTGAATTTTCTTGTACTTCCAATTAGTCTTTCNCGAGCATGCTTTTTTCTATCCACCAGAAATGCCATGTACACTTTTCAAATGATACCCCTTGGCTTTTCACTTCAATTTGCTCCTGTTGAATTTTCTTGTACTTCCAATTAGTCTTTCTTCACAAAATGATGCTCTTATGTAGTGGTTACAATTATAGACAATAAAAAAATTCCTTTTAAAGTAGAACTTTACCATGTTAAATATCATTGTCATTCTGTTTCCCTATAAGATTGAATTTCTGCCAATTTAACTTCAGATGTTGGTTGTGTTTGACAGTGTTGACCATTCAAGGACATTACAAAACAAGTGAAGAGAATATCTAGGTGCTACTTGAGATTGTACTAGTACAAATATTTAAATATAAAACATGGCTCCAGGAGGTGGTGTCTACCAGGACATTATTGAGTCCCGCACTGCATATGCTGATTATGGTATAGCACCTGCAAATGGGGAGTTAAGTTCCCCTTTCAGAAAATCTGCAACTGTTGTTGGTCGGAGGCTTGGTATGGCGTCAAATAGCTCTGTGCATGAGCTACTTGAGTGCCCTGTTTGCATCACTTTAATGTACCCTCCCATTCACCAGGTAAGTTCTCATATGTGACTGTCAAGCTGAAAATGCTCTATTTTCTTGTATTGTAAAGAAACTCCCTATTTTTTATGTTCTATGATGGATTTTCTTAGTCCTGCAATTGATTACTTAGGGATTAGATCTTTACTGATTTTTTTATGTTCCCAATACATAATGGTCCCTATAGAGATTCACATCTGGTTGCAATATTGAGTCCTTGCAAAATGAAAGTTCTGTCACATAGTGACCAACGCCAGTGTGTAACTAGGATAAGTTTATTCCCAAGTGTAGTTCAGGGTATGTAATCTAGTTTAGAGAGCTTTTGTAGTTTAGCTAGGGCAATTTCTTAAAAAACCTTCTCTTTGTTTTTTCCCCTCGAATATGGTTTCATATATTCACACATCTTTGACTTTATTTTTTTTCCTTGTATTTTGGGAAGAGGGGAAGGCTTTCATTGTGCACATGAATTCCACACCCTGAAATAACAGGAAGCCATATGTTTGCTGCTTGTAGATACCTTTTGTGTTTACTGTTAAACAAATCATGCTACTAGGCACGATTAATCGTTGTGTATAAATTGATCATCATATGCTGCTAATAAATTCTTCAATTTTATGATTTCTTGCAGTTGCATAGGATGTGCTTGTAAAATAATTACGGTACTGTATGTAATTATGATGAGACATATAGATACTGTAATGGCAAAATAACTTACAATAGGTGTGTTACTTTGCTGGCTTTACAAAACTCAGATGAATAGTTGATCAGAATTGGCATTGTTGCGCATTTAGATGCTCTTACTGTAGGCGTAAAAGACATCGTCTATGTGCTTCAACCAAAGTGAGGCATTGTTTTACCAAATATTCATCCTTTGTTTTCTTGATCATTGTATAAATTGCAGCGCAACAAGGAGAGTCTGTTTTCTGATCATATTTGCTGTTAACTCCTACTCTTTGGAATGCAAGGAAATTAAGCATTTTGTTGAAGCAGACTCTATAGGAGAATTCTTCCTTTTGTAGGTAGCTGGATTTAAAAATGCTTATTTATCTCATTATAAGTGCAATTCACTCCCAACAACATTAGATCATAACCATCAAATCTGTTCACACCTTAAGTAACCACAACAATATTACAAAACACTTCTATTATTGCCTTTTGTTGTAAGGGTGAAAAAACAAAAAGATAAGACAAACTGAGCTTGTATGCTGTGGCATTGACTGTATTTCATGAATTGGCTGGTTATTGCAGTTCTCTGCAAGTGCATAAGTGTTGATATGAAAACATGATAAGCTTATCATAACAACAGGTTTCTAAAGATGGTTGGATCATTTATTTGGTCTGTTTCTGTGCAGTGCCCAAATGGCCACACTTTATGTTTGAACTGCAAGGCGAAAGTACAATGTTGCCCAATTTGTCGCCAAGAGCTTGGAAACATAAGGTGCTTGGCTTTGGAGAGAGTTGCAGAATCGCTAGAACTGCCATGCAAATACCAGATTTTGGGTTGTCAAGAGATATTCTCATACCACAACCAGCCCAGGCACGAGCAGAATTGCAGGTTTCGCCCATATAAATGCCCTTATGCTGGAGCTGAATGCTCTGTCACTGGTGATATCCAGTTACTGGTTTCTCATCTCAAGGACGATCACAAGGTGGACATGCACAATGGGTGTACTTTCAACCACCGATATGTCAAAACCAATCCCCAAGAAGTTGAGAATGCTACATGGATGTTAACTGTAAGCTCTCTATGTGTCTGTTACCCTCAAATTTATACAACAAAATTTTGTTAACTTTTCCAGTTGGCCTGCCTATACTATCTTTTGCTGGCTTACATCAAGGAATTCCCATATCCATCACTCTCGATTAGATACCTCGTGGGCACTATAGTGCTGCACACTTACCTTTATTTAGTCTGCATAAATGATAGCAATGTGTATACAGTGTTTTGTGCCATTAATGATTCCATAATATAGCTTTGTTGCAGTTTACTAGTGAATTGGTTTTATAATGGAGCAAGAATTGCTTAAGATGAAGACAGTAGATTGTTTTTTTATTTTTTCTTCGGCTTGCTTTATCCCTTCTCCATCAACTTTGTTTTTGAGGTTTTGGATTTCTCTTTTTATATTCTTTGTAAATTAGGTTCTTGAATGCAAATTTTTGGATGCAATTATTCCTAACTACCTAATTATCTTCGTGTTTCCGTACTATAAGTGGGTAGCAGTGTAGGTTGCATTGTTACCTGTCTAATGATTGAATGTTCTGTAACTTGAACTGCTTAATCAACTTGATGAGCTATCTCTTATAGAATAACAAGCACAAATTTTATGATTGAGAGCCTTGAGTTTGATTTAGTTTGTATGCAGAAGTTTTTGTTTTTATTTTTATTCCTTTTGTTAAAATCAACAAGGTGGGTCACAACCAGAGCCTGTCCCTTCCAACCAGCTTTGTTCCTGTTCAACTTAATGAAGGTCTACCCCTCACAAAACACGTAAATGGCTGAATGTTACTACTAGTGGTCTACCCGGGCCTTCAGTAGATGGCACTCACTGAAACAAATTTTCAATTGTTCACCTTATTGTCCTACTTGACTAGAAGGAGCAAACCATGCCATTTAGTGGGCTAGATCATCTTAATTTTGCCATTGACGCTTCTTATGGAAGAGTTAGCCAAATGATAAAAAGGTTCTGTGATCCATTTGTTTATTTCTGGGCACTCCATGCTTCATTAAGTACATCATTTTTTTCACGGGTTAATTTTGTTTTACTTTTGGACCTGAATCCAATTTTACTTTGTGCTTCGTACTATGTTTAGGTGCAAAGAAAGCAGTAAAAGGGAACTAAAAAATAAAGGATTTGTGAAAGAAAAAGAGAAGAAGTGATTCGGTTTGTTTGCTCCACAATCTATCAAAGAACATGTTTGGTTCAATTTCTATGCTAGAAAACTTCTATTCCTGAAAAGGAACTTTCTCACATGTTCAGACATTTTGTTCTTAACAATGGTAATGTATATCCAATCAATTTACTTAGATGATTGATGTTCTTATTTGGTGCAGGTTTTCAACTGTTTTGGCCACCAGTTTTGCTTGCACTTTGAGGCTTTCCAACTTCAAATGGCACCTGTCTACATGGCCTTCCTGCGCTTTATGGGTGATGACCATGATGCAAAGAAATTCAGTTATAGCTTGGAAGTTGGCGGAAATGGCAGGAAATTAACATGGCAAGGAGTTCCCAGGAGCATTCGTGACAGTCATACTACAGTTCGAGACAGTCTAGATGGGCTAATTATTCAGAGAAGCATGGCACTCTTTTTTTCTGGTGGGGATAGGCAGGAGCTGAAGCTAAAATTAGCCGGCCGTATATGGGAAGAACAGGCATAAGGTAAAATTGCTATAAAGACCCTATGGTGGTTATTTTCTAAAGAAAGAAACACTTACATTTGGTTTATTTTGCAACTCCTTGAGGGTTGTGGGGCATTCATGCGTTTCCCTGTAAATGTTTTAGATATTTACAGCTGGGTAGTTTTTGGTGCTGATTCTGCTTTGATACAGAATCCGGTTTGAGCATCTGATCTTATGGTGTATGATTCACAGGACCCCCCTTTTACCTTAGTTTTTTAGTTGGTATGATATAATACAGTAAGAGTGTGCTGGGTTCGAGTATTAAAGAGTGAGATTGGATTAAATTAGCCAATGATAACTTAATAGGCTCTGGTACTATAACATGAGTTAATACTAGCCCGATGTTAAAGTATTGAATCACATTACATACACGGTATTCACATGTAATAGTTGTTAGTACACATCAATCATGATTGGTATTCGGGTCTAAAATGACCAGACAACCCTGGACCAGGTTTAGGATTGAAATTAAATTTTAATTTTTCGAAGTGTTTCGACATGTTTTTACAAATGTTTTGAAATATTTAAAAGTATTTCAAGATATTTTGGTATATTTTGATTAATATTTTGATACATTTTTGAAATAGGTTATCAAATTTTTTATTCGCTTTTTGTTTTAAAAATATTTTCAAGATGTATGTTTCGTAGGTGGCTGAAACAATGCAACCAAATAAAATTTTAATCCTTGTGTCTAACGATACATTAAAACAATAAACATGTTAAATTAATCAATCGTTAAGCTCTATCTAAAAAAATTAAGTAATTTTAGTTAATGTTTTCATTTATTTACATACGTTTTTAAATTTTTTCTCTATTTCAACTGTACTTTTGAAATTTTCTATTTCCGAGCGAACTAAAATTATATACCAAATCAAAATTTTAATCCTTACTTATGGTATGTCAATCGCATTATTTTCATGATCAACTGCTTGAAGTTTAACCTCTGGAGTTGTGGCGCTTTTCGACTTGATATGATAAAAACTTGGCTATGCAATATGACCCTCCAAGAAACACTCCCAAACAGTTTCCATTTTCTGGTGATTCAGAATTTTGTTGGGGGCAAAATGCTCATGAGACATGGTGAATTTCAATTACAAACTTTTCTGATTTTCTATTAGAAACATTGTCAAAAGATGGTAATTTGGGGTGAAGTAAGTTGTCAAAGAAAGATTCAGTAGAATTTGAGGGGTCATGCCAAAATAGTTCAGAAAATTCGTCGTATCAAATACTCAAGACTTTCGCCTATACCATGGTTTGAAATGAAGTTCATCGAGTTATTTGGTAAAATTTTGAGGCAAAATGGGGCTAGTCCTATTTTCGACAACCTTAAACTATGCAGAAAACAAACCATTTCAGGGAAATTCTATTTGCGGACATAGGAAAACCCATGTTTACTATTTTTTGCCTCGTTTGTCGTGGCTAAAAGACTTGAGAGGAACATTTTGTCAGAAGAAAAAAGAAGCCATAGGATCCTCTTTTCTTGATGAATTGTTTCCACAAATGCAGTCAACTGCAAGTAAAAACTAAACGAGCTTACTGCAACATGTGCCCATTACTGCAAGTCTTATTAAGAACAGAAGTTCAGTAAATTGGGTACAAATAATTGTTTAACCATGTAATAGCTTGTGACAAATCATAAGCTTCCAGACGTATGCCGTCAAGAACAGTGCCCCTTCAGAATGCAATATCAAAATCAGAAAGCTGGCTTCCCCTTAAATCAAATAATTTGGCTCAAAGACTAGGTATTTCATGTATTGCATATACCAGCATTGATCAATTTGCCATACCAACCATTTCACTTCCTAGCAAAATAAACAAACAAGACCGCGCCCAAACAAAGTCGAACTATACCAAATATATGCATAAAAAGTTGAGGCCTGATCAATGGCTTGTCCATATTTGTTATGCAATTCCTTCTCCCGCCATCAGCTGGAAGTGTATGCATACAACCCCATTCTGTAACCGTTCAGACACAACAAAAAAACCCAGTTTAGTTCCTAATAAATATGTGTTGGAAACCAGTAGATGGGTGCAGACTTAACCTTTAGTATTATTTATATACAAAATCTGCCTTTTAATTAACACAACATCGGAGTAGAAGGTAGGCAACTCNTGAAATATTTAAAAGTATTTCAAGATATTTTGGTATATTTTGATTAATATTTTGATACATTTTTGAAATAGGTTATCAAATTTTTTATTCGCTTTTTGTTTTAAAAATATTTTCAAGATGTATGTTTCGTAGGTGGCCGAAACAATGCAACCAAATAAAATTTTAATCCTTGTGTCTAACAATACATTAAAACAATAAACATGTTAAATTAATCAATCGTTAAGCTTCATCTAAAAAAATTAAGTAATTTTAGTTAATGTTTTCATTTATTTATATACGTTTTTAAATTTTTTCTCTATTTCAACTGTACTTTTGAAATTTTCTATTTGCGAGCGAACTGAAATTATATTCCAAATCAAAATTTTAATCCTTACTTATAGTATGTCAATCGCATTATTTCATGATCAACTGCTTGAAGTTTAACCTCTGGAGTTGTGGCGCTTTTCGACTTGATATGATAAAAACTTGGCTATGCAATATGACCCTCCAAGAAACACTCCCAAACAGTTTCCATTTTCTGGTGATTCAGAATTTTGTTGGGGGCAAAATGCTCATGAAACATGGTGAATTTCAATTACAAACTTTTCCGATTTTTTATTAGAAACATTGTCAAAAGATGGTAATTTGGGGTGAAGTAAGTTGTCAAAGAAAGATTCAGTAGAATTTGAGGGGGTCATGCCAAAATAGTTCAGAAAATTCGTCGTATCAAATACTCAAGACTTTCGCCTATACCATGGTTTGAAATGAAGTTCATCGAGTTATTTGGTAAAATTTTGAGGCAAAATGGGGCTAGTCCTATTTTCGACAACCTTAAACTATGCAGAAAACAAACCATTTCAGGGAAATTCTATTTGCGGACATAGGAAAACCCATGTTTACTATTTTTTGCCTCGTTTGTCGTGGCTAAAAGACTTGAGAGGAACATTTTGTCAGAAGAAAAAAGAAGCCATAGGATCCTCTTTTCTTGATGAATTGTTTCCACAAATGCAGTCAACTGCAAGTAAAAACTAAACGAGCTTACTGCAACATGTGCCCATTACTGCAAGTCTTATTAAGAACAGAAGTTCAGTAAATTGGGTACAAATAATTGTTTAACCATGTAATAGCTTGTGACAAATCATAAGCTTCCAGACGTATGCCGTCAAGAACAGTGCCCCTTCAGAATGCAATATCAAAATCAGAAAGCTGGCTTCCCCTTAAATCAAATAATTTGGCTCAAAGACTAGGTATTTCATGTATTGCATATACCAGCATTGATCAATTTGCCATACCAACCATTTCACTTCCTAGCAAAATAAACAAACAAGACCGCGCCCAAACAAAGTCGAACTATACCAAATATATGCATAAAAAGTTGAGGCCTGATCAATGGCTTGTCCATATTTGTTATGCAATTCCTTCTCCCGCCATCAGCTGGAAGTGTATGCATACAACCCCATTCTGTAACCGTTCAGACACAACAAAAAAACCCAGTTTAGTTCCTAATAAATATGTGTTGGAAACGAGTAGATGGGTGCAGACTTAACCTTTAGTATTATTTATATACAAAATCTGCCTTTTAATTAACACAACATCGGAGTAGAAGGTAGGCAACTCACATCCAACAAACTTGCATTGACTGAAGAGCAAGCCCCTATGGCAGCAAAACCATTGCAGCAGTCAGAGCATGTTCCTATATGAAAGTAAGCTTAAGCTGAACCATTAAATGATCTGTAATGCACGCAATTGACTACCCAGCTAAACATAAGAGTGAATTTTCGGTAAGGCAAGCTGTATACATAAAATTAGAAAAACTTACCTACGAACTTGGCAGCAACCGACCATTGTACATCTTATCAAGCAATTGCCTTGCATCAGGCCTCCTAAGAAGACCTTTGTTATTAGGTAAACCAGTCCCTAAACAAACAGGACACACAAGTTTCCCACGGCCTGCACCACAAACTCTTAACTATCAAGGAGGAAAAACAAAAAGAAAAAGAAAGCAACAACAGAAAACAGAGGAGAGTGTTGTTGAGGTATTTCAAATATAGTAAAATCACTTATTGAAATTTTTGATATTGTGTAATTTAGAATAAAATAGTAACAGTCAATTGCGAAATAGTAATACAGAATACTGAAACAGTTACAAAAAAATTAACGAAACAGTTACAGTATATTTAACGAAACAGTTACACGTAACTATTTGTCAAACCAACATAAATACTGACCCAATAGCAGAACAAGAAATATTATTGAACTTTATGCAGATCAAGGTTAGTGTTTGACACTATCTCCTTAAGACAGATTTCGCCCCCACACACGGTGCTTATAGAATACAAGGCGTCTGCCTCTTAAGATACAATGATCTTCACACAAGTAGAAGTAGCACTCCATTCTACTCGTCCAACGAACTAAAAATTATGTTGTGTACACTCCAAATGAAGACTATCTTAATGATGTATGAGACTGTCTTAAAAGACTATGAATGTATTTGATACAAAATGATTATGTGACTGAAATATTTATAGAGAATGGTATGAACGAATGCAACCCAGCAGACATATGCAGCCAGAAGACACCACTTGTGTAACAGACACAACTCAGATTTCGAATTGAAAAAGCAATTCGAACCAGTGTGAATTCAAATCCATCACGCCCAATTAATTAAACAATTTTTTCCCAAAAAGATAGGGCTTGGTCTAAACCACACCCGTACTATAGCCCGGCTCGACTGGATCGGGTCGTGGCGTGGCGTGACGAGGTGGGCGTCATGCGTTTGTGGTAGTGCTGAAGGCATGTAGGCGCTCGCTCCACTCATAAAATTATGGTATCCCTTGGGGCCCAATTCCATAGAACAAATTTGGCCTATATATGCCCATGTAGAACTTCTTACTCAACCACTATGAGATTGATGTCAAATCTTACATTGCACAACCTCTATTTTTACATTTCAAGTAGGTCACTTTGAAATCTATTTTCTCATTCATTTCTTACTCGATTTGAGCAAATGAATACACTACATTATTTTCCTCACAAAGTAGAATATGAACCCACGAAAATTTACTCGAAACAACGAACGGGTCCCACTTTAATTTAGGTTCAAAATCGACTAA